AGACTAGACTATAGACTAGACTATAGACTAGACTATAGACTAGACTATAGACTAGACTATAGACTAGACTATAGACTAGACTATAGACTAGACTATAGACTAGACTATAGGTATTAGATTTCTCGCAGATTGCAAAAAATGTTAAGAAACTACGTTCCCAACAGAACGGTAGGTAGGACCACAAAAAAATGTGGTGCCTCAAAAGAGAAGAGAACTCTCATTGAAGCAAGTTTAAAGTTAAGATGATGGTACGTATCCTAAATGGACATGTAGGAATATTATCACAACTTTTCAAATTTTAACTTGGTAAATATAGTGAAACCAATAGTGAAACATTGGAACACTTTCTCTCTCATTTGTCGTTTATACTTAGCATATTACATCTATATTTACATTTTCGGAATCCACAGAAGATAATTCCTTTTTAAAAGAGATTCACTCACCAGGCAGATAGGACATTCCAATGACGTAACAGATTTTACCAAACAAGTTGTTATAACGTTTCAAATATGGCCAAAAACGGAGAATTTTTAAACTTCCGAACACAATATCTCAAAAACCTTTAGAAATGTATACTTTGTTGTTAGGGTTTGGACTTTTTTTAAATTTTTGTTGGCCTGTGTTATTTTAAAATTTTAACATTTGCTAAACAAACATAGATAAATTTATAACTTTTTTTACACTCTCTGTTTGAGGAGACAAATAGGTAAATAATAAAATTAACACGAGTATATTATTTAGCATTTATTGTCAATATTGTAATTCAATACGATTTTAACACAGTTTATTATTATCTTTCCATATTTATATCACTACACCATTTTCAGCTATATTTAAAAAAAATGTTTTTTTAAATAAAAAAAATGATATTGAAATCTAAAGCAAAATTTCAAAATACGAGAGCAAACAATTTCTTTAAATTACTGGTAATATAATGAGAAATACTGAAATGAAACTATACAATTTCTAAACTACAAATGAGCATTTTTTGAAATATAAAAAGAAATGGTGTATCTACTCTTAAAACGTGTGTGTTAAAACAAATTTTCCTTTGTAGAGAAAGGTAAAAAAAGCTATATGTGTAAAAATTTACTAAGAGTGCAGGAACACAGCTATTTAAATCCTAATATTTACAAAACACTTGCAAAATCTATGGAAATAAGTAAGAAGACTGTCAGTTGAATATGAAACGTCTACTAAATAAGTACATAATACATTCTCATTTCTATAAGAAGAATAATGTAAATTAGAAACGATTAAAAAAAGAGTATTATTTATTTTTTTTTTTTTTTTGAAAAATTGTTGTAAAATGCATTATTTGTGATAATAGCAATAGAGTGAAATATTTTAAAAATATTAATTTTGAAATAATTTAAGAAATATATACATATTTACGTCTGCCCACTTAGTTAGTAACTTGGAAATGAGGATTTATACTACATCAAATCTAAAGAAGAACATCTAGGGCCTAATCGGGTCTGTTGTCACCAGTGTCTCTGGTGGGAATCGAAACCTACTAACCTCTGGTGGGAACACTAGCTACTAACATACCGGAGACAGTTAGTAGGATCGGATTAAACAATGATATTCAAAAATTACAATGGCTAAAATGTTATAAACTCTGTGACCAAAGTGTATCGATTCAGAATTTACCCATTATATCTGATTTTCCAAATAACTTTGCCTAAAATTCTAGACGCCTCGTTTTTCGCATTTTGGAGACTTTATAAGGGAAAATATTAATTTTTTCGATTTAATAAATCTCAAAGAAGGGACAAGTTAAACTTTTATTTTGAAGTCAGTGCGAAGGACTCTGAGATGACATAACAAATTTTATAAATTAAAGTAAATTCACTCTGTTTATAACGTCTCGAATACGGCTAGATAGGCGTCAGATTCAGCGTATCACTTAATTATACTCTAGTCCCTGAGTTTTGCCTTAAATATGTATGATTAGTTAGGTTAGGTTAGGTATTCAGGCTGCAAAGACGCACACTTGGGTCCTGTTGGTCCCTTTGTGATACCTGTAAAGATAATAAAATATAAAAGAAAGAGAGTAGAGGATAGTAGAAGATAGTTTAGGATTAAGTCATAGAAGAGAAATTGAAGTGGAGGAGAAGATTGAGAGGTCTGTCCTTGTGGACTAGTGAGTGCCTTAATTATGGCTTGGTGGTCCTAAAACCAGTTACTGTGCCTGATGAAGGCATTTATGTTATCCAGTCCTAGACTGGATAGTTCTGACAAATCATCAAATAGTCGTTTTCCTAGATATACGGATCGAGTGTCCGCTAGCGCAGGGCATTGACAGAGAAGATGTTCGATAGATTCTTCCTCCTCTTCGTCTTGACAACTTCTACAGAAGTCGTTGTGGGGAATTCCAAGTCTTCTTGCATGGTTTCCCAATAAGATATGCCCCGTAATGACAGCAACAAGGTTGCTGATATGAGGGCGGTTTAGTTGCAGAAGATATGACGTGCGTTTACTGTCCAAATTTGGCCATATCTTCCTGGTATTGATACAAGTTGGTTCATTACGCCATCTTGTCTGAGAAATTTCATAGAACTTTCCATCTATTATGGTCTTGCAAGCTTTTAGCGGTATTCCGCAAAAGATGTCTATGTCTCTGTCGGACATTGAGGCTCCTAGTTTCGCTAATTCATCAGCGATATAGTTGCCAGTCAAATCCCCGTGTCCCCGTACCCATTTGAGCACGATTATTGAATGTCTCGCCATCCTGTTTAAGGATGCCCGGCATTCCTGGACTAGTTTAGATGTAGTATATACACCAATCAGGGATTTGATAGCAGCTTGGCTATCGGTACAAATTTGAATATCTCTGTTTGATATTGCTTTCCTATGTATGATTAGTTGCTTTCCTAAACATTTGAATGCAACATTAAAATTGTATCTACATTAGGCAGTTAAAGGCTGGGAACATATATTACTCTTCATGGCAACAATGTCACGTATTCCTAAAACAAACCTTGCAAATTTTGAAAGTATTTAGCACTTCTTAAGTTGTGGGTTTTACAACTAATAAGCAATCAGTCTATTTAATCCACAAGGTTAGACTATAGATGGACCTACATTTACCGCTCAGATGGCAACTTTGTAATATGTTTCTATCGGATCATGATCGCCAAAACACCAATGCTCTGCACTTTCATTTTCCTATTCATCATTACAGTTGGTATATAAATCATTGTATAAAGGAAGTTGTAGCCTCTGCGCATGTAAACCCCAGTGGTCAGTGTCCTGTTATGACCGCGAAAACCGAAAACCGAAAATTTGTCCGTGTCATATCTATTCTAGGCCAGATTTTTCTGGTTTCTAAGCAGGTGGGTTAATTTTCCCATCTTCTTTGTGGTGTACACATTCTCTAGGGATTTAGTAGCTGCGTTGCTATCAGTAATGCAATGTGGATTTCCCTATTAACTTCAAAAAGTTTATTTAATATATTGTATTGCATTTTTAGAAAACTGTCAAGGTATTTGATTAGATTGAATTCTTTGAAACTTTGATTGAGAAAAAACGCAATTTATTTGATATTTGTAGAATTTTACTGCAGTTTTTAAAAACTATTATATTTATAAGTAAATATGTAATTGTAAGCATGTTTTTTTTCTAATAAAAACTATTAACAATTTAACAATGAATTAATTGTTTAAGCATTATAGCTGCAGCAATAAATTGTCGTCAATGAATTTAATAGTATAATTAATACTACCCAATAAACATCTTAACTAAATATTCAATACGATACTTATTATAACGATAAGACTTAGTTAATAAAAACTATCATAAGTGATAGTCGTTCTCGAACCAAAAACGATAGTATTTACTTACTTAATTATAACTCTCCTTATGATATCGCTTTTCTATGAAATTATGATATTGTTTTCGCTATCGCAATTTCCAAAAATAACGAGAGTAAAATCGTGCTTTAGATTTTATTCTGATTGCTATTTAGTATCAAAACTTTTATTTTTTCCTTAAAGATATCGGTCTTTTTAATCAAATAACCAATTAGTCTCTTAAAAATGTCCAATTTGTCTCCAAATTCTAAACAATAATTTGCTGTAAAATAAGAAAAAGGGTAAATGAACTGAAACAATTTATTACATCCAATGTCAAGAACAAATTTCTAAAGTTTATTTTTTCTCAATTCTTATCCAATATAAACAATTAATTTAAGAAACAACACATGAAGGTCAATATCAGCTGATAGAGACAACGAGTTAGTGACTGTGTGGGGTGTGTGGGGTATGTTAATGGGCGGTGGGGCTTGTGTGGACAAATTTATCTATATGCATAAATTCTCCCTCCTGATATACCGGCTTATTTACGACACGACTAAAACTGAATGCTACCAGCAAAATAATCAAAATATTAATATTTGTTTTCTTTTTATGAGTGTTTATTTTTATACGTAAATGTCTAAAGAAACTGGTACTATATTTTTCCAACAACAAAAAATATTATAATATAAATATGTATGTATATGTAAGACCGATCTAGCTGGCAATCTAAACAACAAACATTTTTTATTATTATTATTGGCACATGTGTTTTGTATTGTTTTTGTTAATTTCTGATAAGAATTTTAAAATCGTAAAGCTTTTTTTATTGTTTTGTTTTGTTTTTTAATTTTGTTGCCTTTTGTTTTTATTTATTTTCCATATCTAACTGATATTTTAATGTTGATCTTTTAAGTAGCAAAAAAATGTTCTCTTTGTCCTAGGGTAGTTTTTTTCTCTTTGAGTGTATTTATTAAATCAGAAGAAATGAGTGACATGCCTCTTTTTTATGCCCCTTAAAGCTACAAGCACAATTGTCTGGAAATGTTCTAACAATATTTAGTTTGGTAGAAGATTGATATTTCAGTTCTTGATTAGTTGTTGGCGAACAATTGTTCAGAATAGTTTCGCAGTTCAACGGCTGCTTGTTCAAACATTCGAAGGAAGTGTTCTAATTCCGTTCTATTTTTTGCTATTTTATAGATATTTTAAATTTACAACAAAGAAAAATGTCGTCGTCAGTTGGGGAGAAGCCAAAATTAGTGAAGGTAGAGGAATCCAGACGTTTTATGATCGATTGTTTTAAGGCCGTCAATGTACCACAAGAACATGCTGAACAACAGGCCGATTTATTGGTGGCAGCCGATTATCGTGGTCATTTCAGTCATGGCATGAACCGTTTGGAAATGTACCTCAATGATTTGAGTATTAACTCTACAAATGGTGCTGCTGTCCCCACTATTCTTAAGGAAACCCCCTCTACCGCCTGGGTGGATGGCAACAATGGTCTTGGTGCTGTTGTGGGCAATTTCTGTATGGATTTGGCCATTAAGAAGGCTAAACAAGTGGGTGTCGGTTGGGTTTGTGCCAAGGGCTCCAATCATTATGGCATGGCTGGCTGGTATCCCATGAGAGCCATGAAAGAAGGTTTAGTTGGCATGTCCATGACCAATACCTCTCCCTTGATGGCTCCTACCCGTTCTAAAGAGGCTGCTTTGGGTACAAATCCCTTGTCTTTGGGTGTTCCCGTAAAGGATGACAAATTTTTGCTTGATATGGCCACAACTGCTGTTGCTGTTGGTAAAATTGAAATCCAACGTCGCAAAGGTGAAGCTTTGCCCCATGGCTGGGCTCAAGATCCTAATGGTGCTGAGACTACCGATCCCGATTTGGCCTTCCAAACTGGCTGCCTTATGCCTTTGGGTGGTGCTGAAATTAATTCTGGCTACAAAGGTTACGGTAAGTTTTATATTCTTATAAATGTTATTACTTTAATAAATTAATTTAATAAAAAAAATTCTTTGCCTTAGGTTTGGGTGCTTTAGTAGATATCTTATCGGGCGTTATGTCTGGTGCCAACTACTCCACCAAAGTACGTAAATGGACTCATGCTGGTGCTAATTCTGCTGCTGATTTGGGTCAAGTTTTCATTGCTGTCGATCCCAATTGCTTTGCTCCCGATTTCGAAGATAGAATGACTGATTTCAATGCCCGTTTGCGTGGTTGTAAACCCGTAAGTATACGAGTTTTTTTTTGGCAATCATCAATTTTTTTATTTTCCAATTATTCTTGTTTTATTGTTATTAATTATACACAGACTAATCCCGAAAAACCTGTACTTGTTGCTGGCGATAAGGAATCATTAAATATGAAAGCTGTCGATGCTGCTGGTGGTATTCAATATTTACCCAATCAATTACAAACTTGCGAAAGCTTATCTAAACGTTTCAATGTCAAACCTATGAGTTTTGCTTAATTTTATTTATTAACGTCCCCCACCGGTCATAAATTTTATTAATTTAATTTGTTTTTGTTTAAATTTAATTTTACGTAATATTTTTTTCGTCTTTAAGCATTTAATATATCATAGCTTTACGCATTTCTTTTAAATTTTTTATTAATTGATATTTTTGTACAAATTATTTTGTACAGCATTTTTGTATATTGTTTAAAAAAAATAATAACTATTTTTATAAGAATTTAAACGAGATCTTTAATTTTTTATTTATGAAAATCAAAATACATATCAAAACAAAAAAATAATAAAATTATTGTTAAATTAAACTATACTAAAAAATGGATAGAAACATTTTAAAATTTCATGTTAAAATTTTTCATAAAAAGCATTCATAATTGGTATCATGATAAAAATAAGAAGGTAGTGCCAATCAAAAATTTTTCATTTAAATAAGGATTTTTGAAGTTTCTCTTTTTATTAAAATTGAATGAATCAGATGTAGAATTTCAAAAAATAAAGAGAGATGGACACTATCTTCTCTTTTTCTACTATGATTGGTATGTATGTATATGTATATTTTGATTTCAGTAGATTAGAAAACCTAAAAAAGTTGTTTTTGCAATACTGGAACATATCTGCTATCTAAAGTATATATCTGTATGATCAATTACACTGGCCAACAAACCCTGATCTCAGAATTTTTCCATCACATCAGGTTTTCTTAATTTAAGTTTGAAAAAATCCTATTTTAGCCATGATCGAGAGTAGCCAGATACAGCACTGCTCAATCCTTTTCAAAGGAAGTCGGTAACATCGCAAATAGATAGTTTGTCGGATGTCCCCTAATGCTGGACATAGAAGACGGTTAATTAATTCCTAGTCATTGTACAGTATTACAAGTCTCATAGTATGGTTATCGAATTAACAGTGCCTTGTGATGACAGCTGTCATTTTGCAGAGTTGGGATCGGCTTTGTTTCAGGAGATAGTCCGTCAGTTTCCTATCAAGCGTTTGCCATATCTTCTTCGTTTGAATTCAAGTTGATTTATATCTTCTTGTCGCCTAAGAGAGTTCGTAGTACATGTTGTGTATGCTTTTTTTGAATAGCCTTAACGGAGTACCACAGAAATGGTCTATCTCCGAATCGGAAATTTGTGAACCTATTTTCGCGATCTCATCAGCATTCTCATACCCATACAAGTATGATGTTTGAATGTCTCGCCATTCTTTTAGAGGATGTCCGGTATTCTCGGACTAGTCGTGATGTAGAGAATACACTTATCACTGTCGGTAAAGGTTAGGATATCTCTGTTCGAAATACTATGATAGAAAAGCAAGTTTGCTGTTCTTTTTATGGCTGATATCTCGACCTAAATTGGACTACAATCATTACAGATTCTAACAGTAATCGTGACTCAAAATTCTGGAATGAAAATGGCTTCCCTCTCTTTATTTCGAGTATTCCGTGTACACGGATAGACGTCATGGAGAGCGATCTTACTCCAGTCTCGCCTTTTCAGAGATGACGAAACCATCTCTGGGGGAAGGATTTGGTGATATTGCTTTAATATTGTCCATTGCATCAATATTGTACAGTCGGAAAGTGGGAGTACAACTCTGTTCAGATGAGGTAGTGTGAAAGAGTCGATCTTATATTTCTTGGCGGGGATATTGCATCCATATTGTTCAGCAGGTTTAATATACTCTTGGTTGGTTGGTAGTTCAGGCTGCAATAGATGCTCACGTGGGTCCTTTTGGTCTCTTTGTGATACCTGTAAATATATTAAAAGAAAAGAGGAAGAGGACATAGAAAGTTATGGTAAGAGAGATAGTGAAGAGACATTAAGGGGTATTAATATTTAAGGTATAAGTTAGACAGAGAGAGATTAAAGTACATAAGCGGAAAAGAGTCTCGGACTCGAAAAAGCTACTAATCAGTGCTATTTGAGTTTGTCTCGTCAAACCAACCGCAATGCCTGATAAAGGCGTTCAGGTTATCTATTTTAGTCCCTGATAATTCTGAGGTGTCCCCCAGAAATCGATGTCCCAGATACCGAAGTCGGATGTCCTCCAGTGCCGGACAGCAGAATCTATTGATTTCTCTTCTTCCTCATCTTGACAGCTTCTGCAGTAGTCGTTATAAGGTAATCCAAGTCGCATTTCGTGATTACCAAATTTACAGTGTCCAGTGATGACAGCTATAGTTTTGCTGAGTTGGGTTCGGCTGTGTCTTAGAAGATGGTCCGTGCGGTCTTTAACAAGCTTTGTCCATATCTTCTTTGTTTGAGTACAAGTTGGCTCATTTTCCCATCTTTCCTGTGAGAGTTCATTAAACATGTTATCCATAAGTCTTTTGCATACTCCCATCGGAGTACCGCAGAAATGGTCTATGTCTGAGTGGGGCAACTGCGTACCCGCCTTCGCGAGCTCTTCAGCGATACAATTGCCTGTAGAGTCCCCGTGTCCTCGTACCCATACGATGTTTGAATGTTTCGCCATCCTATTTAAGGATGTCCGGCATTCCTGGACTAGTTGTGATGTAGAGTATACACCTGTCAGAGACTTAATTTCAGCTTGACTGTCGGATATCTCTGTTCGATATCTTATGATACCAGAGCCAGTTTGCCGTTTTTTTTATGGCCGATATTTCGGCCTGAATTGGATTACAATGATTACCGATCCTAAAAGTAATCCTGATTCCAAATTCTGGAATGAAAATACCGCCCCCTACTCGTTCTCCTCGTTTTGAGCCATCTGTGTACACTGAAGCTTCTCTGGAGGAAGGGCTTGGGGACGCAGTAATCAGTATTTACCGGTAGATTTCCTATCCTATCGGTAATACTAGCATGTCCATAAGGTTTGTACGACCATGCGTTTATTGCATTCAGTCTGAATATACTCTAAGTAATACGTACTCGCATTCCCATATGATCTGCAATTAAAGTTTATGTATATTTAGCGCTTTCCATTGCCGTTACGTCGGTCTTGCCATGTTGTTGGGGGTCCATTACAGTTTACTGTCATGAATAACTCCTAGGTATTTTGCACAATCCGAAAGAGGGAGTACAACTGCGTTCATTCATTTTTTTTCCTTTTATCGTTGCTGTTCTTCAGAGTAAGCGAAGTAACACATTCGACATACTTCAGACCCTGACAAGTATGAAGTTGATATTTCTGCACCTGTCAGTAATTTGGATTACTACAATCAGGTCCGCATCCTGTTCGCTCTTCAGACATCTTAGCGTTTCTCAATCACCTGCGAAAAGCACAACGAAAAGGCAAGTTAAGCTGAATTCAATGAATTATTTCGGCATTTGAATGGACACTTCGTTTCTTAGACTATAAAGTCCATGTCATGGCGAAAATGGTGAAGGATATAATCATGCTGGGAATGAAAAGAATCATTCCATTCAAAACGTCTTCGACAGACAGTCTTGGCGTTCCGCTACGCAAAAAGGCATCTTTGTACAATGATTCTTAATGCTCCTCCAGGCAGTAAGACTTTCTAGGCATTCGTCAAAATAGGAATTTATAATGCAAGATATTTAATTCCGACACAAACCGATTGATAAAGCTATTAAAGTTAAATAAAATAATTTTAAATATTTATTAAAAGTATAATATGATGAAGGGTAAATAAAATTCATCATAGACGACTTCAGCACTAATCTTTATTTACCATTAAACTGTTATTTTCATGTTGATCGTTTACATAAAATGTATTATCTTTTGATTGGGGTAGTCCTTATCTTTGAGTGAATTGCTAAATAAGTGACATGCCTCTTAAAGCTAACCAGTTGTATGGAAATTTTCTCAAAAAGTATTTAGTTTGCCAAAAGATTGAAATTTCAGTTTATCATTAGTTATTTGCTAGTAATTGATCTGAATAGTTTCGCTCATCATGATCGTTCGGAGAAATCGTACTGTTCTATTCTTTTGGAATTCTATAGATATTTTTAAGTTTTAACACAGAAAAATATCTTCAATAGGGGAGAAGCCAAAATTGGTGAAGGTAGAGGAATCCAAACGTTTTATGATCGATTGTTTTAAAGCAGTAAATGTGCCACAAGGACATGCAGAACAACAGGCTGATTTATTGGTGGCAGCCGATTATCGTGGTCACTTTAGTCATGGCATGAACCGTTTGGAAATGTACCTCAACGATTTGAGCATTAACTCTACCGACGGTGCTGCTCTCCCCACCATTCTTAAGGAAACTCCTTCAACGGCCTGGGTAGATGGCAAAAATGGTCTTGGTGCGGTTGTGGGCAATTTTTGTATGGATTTGGCCATTAAGAAGGCTAAACAAGTGGGCGTCGGTTGGGTTTGTGCGAAGAATTCAAATCATTATGGCATGGCTAGCTGGTATCCCATGAGAGCCATGAAAGAAGGTTTGGTTGGCATGTCCATGACTAACACTTCTCCCTTTATGGCTCCTACCCGCTCCAAAGTGGCTGCTTTAGGTACAAATCCCTTGTCCTTGGGTGTTCCCGCAAAAGATGATCAATTTTTGCTTGATATGGCTACTACAGCTGTAGCTTTGGGTAAAGTTGAAATCCAACGTCGTAAGGGTGAGTCGTTGCCCTATGGTTGGGCCTTAGATGGCAATGGTAATGAAACTAATGACGCTGATTTGGCCTTCCAAAGTGGCTGCTTAATGCCTTTGGGTGGTGCAGAAATCAACTCTGGTTACAAGGGTTATGGTAAATTTAAATTTTTGTACATATTCATACAAAATAAAAACATATTATTTGTCCACAGGTTTGGGAGCTTTAGTAGATATCTTATCTGGTGTTATGGCTGGTTCTAATTACTCCACCAAAGTACGTAAATGGACTCATGCAGGTTCCAATACTGTTGCTGATTTGGGCCAAGTATTCATTGCTGTTGATCCTAATTGCTTTGCTCCCGATTTCGAGGAAAGAATGACCGACTTCAATGCCCGTTTGCGTGGCTGCGAACCCGTAAGTATTTTATTTAAAAAATGCTTTTTAATTTATGAACTTTTGTTTACATTTTTTTCTTGTTTAGACTGATCCCGAAAAACCTGTTCTGGTTCATGGTGATAAGGAATCTATGACAATGAAAGCTGTCGATGACGCTGGTGGTATTCAATATTTACCCAATCAATTACAAACTTGCGAAAGCTTATCTCAACGTTTTAATGTCAAACCTTTGAGTTTTGTTTAATTTTCTATTTAGATCCCACCCGGACATAAATTTTAAAATAATTTGTTTAAGCTTAATTTTATGTCATTTTTAGCATTTAAAAAATCGTATTTATACATTTCTTTTAAATTTTATTATTATTTTTATAAATAAAGCTGAATTTGCGCTGTATTATTATCTCAAAACTGCCAAAATCTGAGGGGTTTTGAAACCTTATGCTAAGATGTCATGAAAGCTTGATGTAATAGAGAAATTCAAATATAAGAACTTTTTACTCAAGATCGATTTTCAGACTTCGCAGAGTTTTACAATCAATTACGAAAAAGTCGACCATAAGGCACACAATCATCTCTAGGGAGGATACACTCGGGTTTGGCGAAACAACAAAAATATTGTTGATTCGCTACGCATAATACTAAGAAGGGAAAAAGTTTTCTTCGTTCTAAAGCATTTAATACTCACCGGGGCAGTCCCCCCCGGGGCATGTTTCCATGATGAAATGTCCATCATGGTGTATTGCAATCCCGGGGTAAAGAGATGCTACGAGTATCTCTAGTCTGCCGGGACTATAAACTGGTGATGTCAAATGTATCCTTGGCTTCGACTCGGAATGATTTGGCATGGGGTCTAACCAGAGCACCATATAATCTGGCAATACGGGTGGCCGGTTGCCCACAGGACCTAGTCCTGACCGGTCAATTGGTTGAGATTCCTTCGGGATCCACGTAGTGGCTGTGGTTGAAACCCAAATCGCGGGGAGAGAATGTTGGTTTAAGGACTGATATATCCTATACCTAATGGGTTGGATAATTCTCTCTTCGAACAGGTCTGTGTACAAAGCAGCATATGCTGGATTCCTAAACCCGATCGGTATTTCTTACCGGTCGTGTAGTGGGACGCCGGTATATGCTGGGGAATTGTCAGGTTAGTATTCAATGGTTGCCTGTCATCCCGTAGAGCGATCTTTATGATCATGGGAATGGAACTGATGCGGAAATTGGTGAAAGATGGGGAAAGTCTCCATATATTGGAGATTAGTACTGATTTAGTATGCCTTTTTACGCTTCGGGGAAGTTCTTCGGTGCTGTTGCCATCTCAACAGGATATATTGATACATGCTACGCGACTAATTTGTCGGGGCAATTATTGGAATTAATTGACTTTGCAAATTCCTATTTCCTTTGTTACATTGATCGGTTCATAAAAGAGGAATCCTGATCCATTTTGTTGGGTATTTCGGACTACCAAATATGTCTCTAGGTGCTGTTGCCAAACCAACAGGGCCATCTCAGTAGTGTGGTTGCGCTTAAAGAGGTTAAGGAATGCACTGGAATGGGTCATTAGATGATAGGGATTGCATTTTGAATAATGCAATCTTTCATGACATCATAAGGGTGGTCACCTTCCGGCTTACCGGAAGATTGTTTTCACCTGATGTTGGGACTTGTCACCCCCTTCTATTGACTTTAGACCAGTGATTGCTTTTTCCTTTTCGGGGTTTGCATTGGGATTGATCCCATGCTGCCTGTCATTCCGCAACGGGGCTACTATGGCAAGAGATTAGATAGCTCGAGTTATTTAACAAAGTGCTTGTACATGGACCGGCTCAGCCATGTACAAAAATTGCTACCTGAGTTCTTCATTGAAGAATTCAGGGGCGCGGTTAGACCGTCTCTAGTCTACCCAGTGGATGAAAAAGACCACCGTGAAATTAGGCCGTCAAGGCAGGTGTTCACGTTAAACTCTCGACATTCACCGGGGCAGTAACCCCTTATTTTCATTCGTCAAAAGAATAAAGGTTAACGCATATTCAACAATCCGATTAATAAAACTAACGATTAAGCTGGTTCGAAAGAAGCATTCAAGAGTCTTTGTGTTTTAATGCGGTCTAAGAAATACTTCACTTCATCTGATCTTCTTACTATATAAATTACTTTCATTTATCCGATGGAATACAACTCCCATCTTTGAGACGATGACGCAAAATCAATTCAGGTGTCAGTGGACCGCTCATGTGGAATAAAATCTTACTGTTAAACAGATTAAAATCGAATATTCGCCCTTTTTCCTCCCAGTCATAACCAATTTGCATACTTCCATCGTCATGCAGTACATGAGTAGGAATCATCCTATGTTCCTAAAGACTTCTAATATCTTCAGGATCAAAATCATTCTATCAGACATGTTTTCCATAATCTTGGTTTCTAAAATCTAAGAAATCGGAATATACACAAATAATATAAAAATTCTGAGAAAAGCCAAAGTTTTTTAGAATTGTTCCTATATACACATAATGTATTGTATGTTCGGGATATATCCTAAAATATATCACAGTGAAGGGTATATAAGATTCGACATAGGTTACTTGTTAATTTTACATATTTAACTGATAAATTTTATGTTGATCGTTTGCAGAAAAAAATATAAGCTTTTTATTAGGGTAGTTCTTATCTTTGAGTGAATTGTTAAGCTAGTGGGAATGAGCGATATGCCTCTTAAAGATACCCAATCATATGGAAATATTCTAAGAGTATTTAATTTGGTGAAAGATTAAAATATCAGTTCATGGTTAGTTGTTTGTGAACAATTGATCTGAATAGTTTCACTAGCTGCTTATACGATCGTTTGGAGAAAGTATAACGTTCTATTTTTTAGTATTCTTCAGATAAAAAAATTTACAACACAGAAAAATGTCTTCAGTAGGGGAGAAGCCAAAATTGGTGAAGGTAGAGGAAGCAAGACGTTTTATGATCGATTGTTTTAAGGCCGTCAATGTACCACAAGAACATGCTGAACAACAGGCCGATTTATTGGTGGCAGCCGATTATCGTGGTCATTTCAGTCATGGCATGAACCGTTTGGAAATGTACCTCAACGATTTGAGCATTAACTCTACCGATGGTGCTGCTGTCCCCACTATTCTTAAGGAAACCCCCTCTACCGCCTGGGTGGATGGCAAAAATGGTCTTGGTGCCGTTGTGGGCAATTTCTGTATGGATTTGGCCATTAAGAAGGCTAAACAAGTAGGTGTCGGTTGGGTTTGTGCTAAGAACTCAAATCATTACGGCATGGCTGGCTGGTATCCCATGAGAGCCATGAAAGAAGGTTTGGTTGGCATGTCCATGACTAATACCTCTCCCTTGATGGCTCCTACCCGTTCCAAAGTGGCTGCTTTAGGTACAAATCCCTTGTCCTTGGGTGTTCCCGCAAAGGATGATCAATTTTTGCTTGATATGGCCACTACAGCTGTAGCTTTGGGTAAGGTTGAAATTCAACGTCGTAAGGGTGAGTCTTTACCCCATGGTTGGGCCCTAGATGCACATGGTAATGAAACAACCGATGCCGAGTCGGCCTTCCAAACTGGCTGCTTAATGCCTTTGGGTGGTGCTGAAATCAACTCCGGTTATAAAGGTTATGGTAAGTTTCACTCTAAAACAAATTGTTTATGATTTTAATAAATTGCCATGTAACAACAACAAATAATTTTCCTTAGGTTTGGCTGCTTTAGTTGATATCTTATCTGGTGTTATGGCTGGTGCCAGTTACTCTACCAAATTGCGTAAATGGACTGATGTTGATCCCAATTCTACCGCCGACTTGGGTCAAGTATTCATTGCTGTTGATCCTAATTGCTTTGCTCCCGATTTCGAGGAAAGAATGGCCGATTTTAATGGTCGTTTGCGTAGCTGCGAACCGGTAAGTATTTTATGCAAAAAGTAAATGATTTTACTTTCTAATCCTTTGTTTATCTTATTCTATTATTTAGACTGATCCCGAAAAACCTGTACTGGTTCATGGTGATAAGGAATCTATGACAATGAAAGCTGTCGATACCGCTGGTGGTATTCAATATTTACCCAATCAATTACAAACCTGCGAAAGCATATCTCAACGTTTTAATGTAAAACCGTTAAGTTTTGTTTAATTTAATATATTAACGCCTATTAAGACCTCACCCGGTCATAAATTTTAATATAAACTTAAAAACTAAATTTGCAATTTGTCCATTTGTGTAAATATTACTAAATACTTTTACTGGGTTAGAAAATATAAATAATTGTTAGGTTTAATATTTTTCAATAATATAATAATTTTTAATAATTCTTGAAAGTGTTTTCCGCAATTGCTAGGTAATATATTAAAGTTCATATCTGATGTTACTTTTGACACGTTTTAAAATATAACGGTTATCAAAAATGGCTTGATAAAATATAAACAAAATACTTCAAAATATTGATTGGCATAAAAATAATGTTATAACCTTTGTTATAACTTGTAACATCTTTGGAATATATTTAATCTTAAGTTTAATATATTCGAATTCAACGCAGCTCAAACCTTTAGAAATGCATTATTTGGTCTATGGTATCATTCTACCATTAAGAAGGAATTTAACAGTTCATCAGTTTCAGTTCATCAGTTCACCAAGATATATTATAATTAATATACCAAGATAGAAACGATTAACAAGTAATAAAGTTCATAATGGTAATTAAGAAGAAATTAAACCGAAAAAGTTTTGTTCGCAAAATGTAAATTATTTAACAAAAATCATTTTACTTTAATAAAACTCTACTCACAAACTTAACTATGCAATATTGTTTAATAACACTAAGATTTAGATAATCAGATAGTGCTGATAATGAGTGTCATTTAATTTCATTTTAATACTATAACTGTTGTTATCTATTTAATAACATTGTTTATACGACAATTCAACGGGACAACTTTAAAATCATGTTAAAGTTCTTAAAATAAGTTTATGTCGAACAAGTTATGTTCAGTTTATTAACGGGTTTGTAAGATATAAAGAAGAGTTATAAATCGGATTTACCTCTTTCTAGATTGTTTACCTCTTTCTTGTTTGTTTTTTAGGAACGAGTGGTACTAACTAACTAAGTAACTACTAACTAACTAACTAACTAACTAACTAACTAACTAACTAACTAACTAACTAACTAACTAACTAACTAACTAACTAACTAACTAACTAACTAACTAACTAACTAACTAACTAACTAACTAACTAACTACTAACTAACTAACTAACTAACTAACTAACTAACTAACTAACTAACTAACTAACTAACTACTAACTAACTAACTAACTAACTAACTAACTAACTACTAACTAACTAACTACCTAACTAACTAACTAACTAACTAACTAACTAACTAACTAACTACTACTAACTAACTAACTAACTAACTAACTAACTAACTAACTAACTAACTAACTAACTAACTAACTAACTAACTAACTAACTAACTAACTACTAACTACACTAACTAACTAACTAACTAACTAACTAACTAACTAACTTAACTAACTAACTAACTAACACTAACTAACTAACTAACTAACTAACTAACTAACTAACTAACTACTAACTAACTAACTAACTAACTAACTAACTAACTAAACTAACTAACTAACTAACTAACTAACTAACTAACTAACTAACTAACTAACTAACTAACTAACTAACTAACTAACTACTAACTAACTACTAACTAACTACTAACTAACTAACTAACTAACTAACTAACTAACTAACTAACTAACTAACTAACTACTAACTAACTAACTAACTAACTAACTAACTAACTAACTAACTAACTAACTAACTACTAACTACTACTAACTAACTAACTAACTAACTAACTAACTAACTAACTAACTAACTAACTAACTAACTAACTAACTAACTAACTAACTAACTAACTAACTAACTACTACTAACTAACTAACTAACTAACTAACTAACTAACTAACTAACTAACTACTAACTAACTAACTAACTAACTAACTAACTAACTAACTAACTAACTAACTAACTAACTAACTAACTAACTAACTAACTAACTAACTAACTAACTAACTACTAACTAACTACTAACTAACTAACTACTAACTAACTAACTAACTAACTAACTAACTAACTAACTAACTAACTAACTAACTAACTAACTAACTAACTAACTAACTAACTAACTAACTAACTAACTAACTAACTAACTAACTAACTAACTAACTAACTAACTACTAACTACTAACTAACTAACTAACTAACTAACTAACTAACTAACTAACTAACTAACTAACTAACTAACTAACTACCTAACTAACTAACTAACTAACTAACTAACTAACTAACTAACTAACTAACTACTAACTACTAACTAACTAACTAACTAACTAACTAACTACTAACTAACTAACTACTAACTAACTAACTAACTAACTAACTAACTAACTAACTAACTAACTAACTAACTACTAACTAACTAACTACTAACTAACTAACTAACTAACTAACTACTAACTAACTAACGTAACTAACTAACTAACTAACTAACTAACTAACTAACTACTAACTACTAACTAACTAACTAACTAACTAACTAACTAACTAACTAACTAACTAACTAACTAACTACTAACTAACTAACTAACTAACTAACTAACTAACTACTAACTAACTAACTACTAACTAACTAACAACTAACTAACTAACTAACTAACTAACTAACTAACTAACTAACTAACTAACTAACTAACTAACTAACTAACTAACTAACT